TTTAAGCACACACAAAATAGTAAGTGAATCATGTTGATCCATGAGGAGCTTCAGTCAATACCAACAGGTCATGAACACATTGTCTAATCTGTTTGAATAAAACTTTACTGTGTCTTGAATGATCATATTGCTTATAGGTGCTTCCTGTATCCCTGAGGACAGGCTGTGCTGGACCATTACTTGTGAATCATTCCAGAACTCAAAATGTGAAATTTCGGACTTGCCATGATATCTTAGATTTCAGCTGATTAGTCCCTGACATTATTTTCCTACATGCAGCAATGTTGTTGAAATTGTGTATAGATGATTTTTAATATGTTTGTAGTGGTACTATTTATAATAAAATATAATTTTTATTCATTTCATAATATTTTTAAATATTAACTTGTCAAGGTCCAACTGGAGGGAACATCTTTAAGCCTCCTTAATTTACTTGTTGTTGTATAAATTTCAGTGGTACTGGATAAAGTTATCTGTTAACAGCATGTAGAATGATTACCCAAATATAAAAATAAAAATTAAGAAACAAAAATTGAGTTTATTCACTTCTCATTTATGAGACAGTGGCTAAACTTTTGATTCCTTGCAACCTCAAAATGTAATTAAATAAAATTTCCAATATTTCTGTTGTTACTAAAAGTGCTGCATATAATAAAATTTTGGGACATTCTTTTGAGGTTAGTAGCACCAATTCACATTGTTTTCCACTGATGAAACAGGTTATTTCATCTTTTAAATCACACATATTTTTATAGTTTGTTAGTAGAAAACTGGGATGTGGTATGCTTTGTTTTTCTGTATTTTCTTCTTAAACACTGTGCTTCTGAAATAAGAAACACAGGTTACCTAAAAGTAAGAATTAAGAAGGCCGTGACTGAAGAGCATGGGAGAGAAGGTTGGTGAGGTTAATTTACAATTAGACCTTATTTCAAATTTAAGTTTGTTACAGGTGACAGTACAGATAAATGTATCTTTCTTATGTATTGAAATAATTGCTTGATATGTAATTGTGAATGGGTGACAATATGAGAAATAGTTCTAAATATGAGCTTACCAGCAGTCAAATTTCACCTTGGGGTAACCTACATAAAATTGTGCAAATTACTTTTTTCAGGTGGTGTGGGTTTTGTTCCCTCTGCCATGCTTCACAGTTTAGTAATTCAGTTCCATAGATAGCCACCTAATCATGTGTTTGCACATTCATGTTTGCTAAAGTTGCTGATACAATATTTTGAGGATTTCAGGTGAACAGATTTCTCTAAATCTTTTTCAGTATATTTACCAGTCCTTTAAAATAATCTGTAATGTTGGATTTCATTGTTAGAAACCATTACTTTATTAAAATTCAGTGGTAGATCAGAATAATGTTTACAATAGGATGTCTAATAACTATAAAGATATGTTGGTATCATGTTGGAAATTATTCCATCTTTGGTACTCTGTTACTAAGTTGTAACTGTGCCCTGATTGAGGGACAACACAGACACTAATTGATCAAGCTTGTGAAACTTAGTGAGAACACTATACTGTTTGAGAATTAAAAATAGATGTAGTATCTCAGGTGAGTGCATTTTAAAATTGCTGTATGTCTGTCCATTTGTCCATAGGCATTTAACACATTAAGAACAGCTTAACTGATGTGACATTTGAGGTTTTCATGATGGTGAGGATTATGATTTTCTTCTTCTGGGTTTTGTTGCCATGCAGACTTGTTGGTAGATTCCAATATTTTGGAGAAACTCTCGCTCCATCTTTGGGGCTGAAGATGGAGATAGTATGTTTCTCCTAAACATTTGCTTCTATTGACAAGTCTACATAGTATTAAAACCCAGAATAACATCAGCTGAACAGATATTAATAAAATTTAGCATTGGGGTTGTACTAAATTTTTTTTTACAACATTAGCTGAAATCACACTACAATAATGGACAATTTACATGAGAACATATGCCCAGTTTTCACGTGTTATTTAGGGGATTCCGTAGCATGTCATGAAGGTCAGTTTTCTGGTGATCTGTTTATGCATTTCCCAACTTCGTAACTTGTTCAACTCCATCAACATGACAGCCATTTGGCATTATGAGGTGTCAGAAGCACTTTTAAAATGCAAACCTTTTGTAGAGCCCAACAGTAGATCTGTTTCAAGTATGAAATTTCAATAAGGTATTTTTTATGAAGGTAAAAACAACATGGGAGCTGAATGTTTATCTTTTATGACAGTTGGTAACTAACAAACTGTAAATTAGGAGTGAAATTTGTGTGGTGATATGTTACAAAGACAGTAATACAATTGGTACTGAAATCTACAATATCCTAACATTTTGAACTATAACATTTGCCTTGCCAACAGTGAATTCTTTTGTACAAGTTTCAAGTTCCTCCTGTCAGCATGATGTGAAATCAGTGGGAGCACATTATCATAAACTATATAGTGTGCTACAGGGCACACAATAAGTAATTGTGGTAACAACATAATGTTTAATGAAGATTATTGTGAAGATTTGTTCTTAATATATTTACTGTTAGTGAATATATATGTCAGCAGGCATTGTAAGCATAGAGTGTTCTTATGTAACTGTACCATCCATAATGTGCAGTATGCTCATCTGCATAGTGAAACTGTTTTGCCCATAACAGTGATAATGTTAAATCTCTCCAACCTGTACAATCTGTCATGCTACTTGTGTAAGTGTATAAATGAAATTTTCTTTTTTACTGAAAATTTAATTAAAATCACTTTTTTTTAAAAAGAATTGCACTACTTAGAGAGCTTTAATGAAACAACATATAGCTGCCTCAGCATTCCAGTAACACTGCTTTGTCTTACAGCACAAGATGGACATAATTAAGGCAGAGCTTGACTCAGAGGATGAAACACATCCATCAGGCATAGAACCTCAGTTTGTTGATATGAAACAAGATATGACAGAACCATACATTGTCATTGATAAGTTTGAAGCAGAGGTGGGTCAAATATTGTATATCAGAGAGGGATTCATTATCTTCAAACGCAAAAAGTGCTTGTCCATTCAGATTTTTGTGTTTGAATGCATTGTGATGGAAATCTGACAGTAAGTGTAAGGCCCACATTGAATTTATTTATTCTGCAAAGATGATGCTAGAAGCCAGTTCTGGCCTCAAACCACATTCATGGTCACCTTAAATGTCTCTTTTATTCAAGAAATTTATTTTCTTTGTGGGTTTTTATATACTGTGATCATCTATTCTTTCAAATTGTCAGTCACCTTTTTTCTGTAATATTTTTTTGTTGCAGTGATTATACAAGAGTAAGTCAAGAAGTATCACCAAAGTGAATTTTTTTAAACTGGTCCCACTGCTCATGCATAGAACTTCCCTTTGGTTGTAGTGATGTGTTTATTTGTAATTGTTCAGTTGTCTTGTGCTCCTGATTGATTGATTGGTTGATGTCCTGTCGCTCTTAGCCAGAGCATAGGGCCTAGCATCATCAATATGGCTACTCCATTCACTACATATACTAAAGAACAGCAGCTTGGAGTGATTAGGTTTTGTAGGGTGAAAGCATAAGAGGTGTGGAAATTAATCACAGATTATCAGCATAGTACGATGACTGTTGTACAGCAGAGCAGATCAATACAAAATTGGCTTTAATATCACTGATGAGGAACATTTAGAACAGCTGTCCACTTAAGGAAACATTGACCAAATTTGTGTACTAATTCTTGAGTGCAAAAGGGTGACTATTTGCCTGGCAAATCAGCTACAGATTAGCCACAGTCCTGCTTAGAAATTATCCATGACAGACTTCTCTTCTGTAAAATTTGTGCAAAATAGGTCCTGAAACTACTCAAAACAGCATAGATGTAGATGTTTGGACATCTGTAACAGTCTTTTGACCCAGTATCATGAAGAAGGTGACACTTTAATATATGACTTTTACTGGTGGCAAAATATGGATCCATTATTGAGCTTGAGAGATCAATCTCCAAGAGTATGGAATGGAAACATCTGATGTCCCCTGTCAGGAATATGTTCAAATCTTAGCCTAAAACAGGGAAAATGATGCTCAAACTTTTGTGGGATTCTGAAGGACTAATCCTAGAGAATATCATGAATGAATATTGTGATAAATAGTACATGTTATTGTGAGGTGCTGCATTAGTGATCCCAATGTTCAAACACTCCAGCAGCTGCATTTTGAGATCTTTGATGTCTGCCATATACCCCTGACCTTGTCTATTGAGACTATCAATGTGCGAACTACTGACAAATGCTCTAACGGCTCTCATTTTGCCAGTGACCATAAGCTGAAGGAGGCAGTGTATATGTGACTTGCTGTTAGTCCAAACACACTTTATTTGAAGTTATAAAAAGTTTTTACATTTTTGGACCAAGTGTGTTGGAAAGCATGGAGAATTTGTTCAAGTATATGCATGTGAAAGTTATGAATTATTTTGTTCATTTTAATAAGTACATCGTGGCTATGTTTTGACATAACACTCCTCTTATGTCTTAATTTTGTAATTGATCTGTCCTTTCATTACCTCTTACTGGGTTTAAAAACTGGGTTCCTGTATAATGTGTGGTGCACAGTCCCAAGCTAAAAGTAAAAAGATACCAAGGGTGTATTTTAATATTCTTGCAATTGAATGGTATATTCATAACAATGAGCTGTAATTTCTGGGCTGATCGGTATGTTTAGTGTGTGAAGGCAGTGTTAGCTTTATGCTGTTACAGGAAGACCCATTGCAAGAAGACAAACTGAGCCATGTCAATGAAGAAGTACCAATTGTTCTCTGTGGTAACAGGTGAGACAAACTAACTAATATATATATGTATCAGAAAAAATTGTAAAATTTGGAACAGAAAGACCATTGCATTTAGTTTGTGTGTGGTACTTTGCAGTTTTCACCATTCTTACTTTCCATCAGGTAAAACCTGTGTTATGACAATTTCACCTAAAATAACATAGTAAAGGACAGCCAGGACACTACATTGCTGTCTGCTACTGCCCTTGAATGTTATTAGGTGTTGACACTCCACTGTTTCTTTGTGATACACAATTTTACTTTCCATGTTCTTCACTGTTAGTTTGTATAAAAGAAAACACTTACATTGTCTATGATGGTTCTGTGGTAGTAATTTTGCCTCAGATTTAGTTCTCAATGAGTCTTTTTTAATCATCATGTCTAAATAATTATGGTAGCCCATGAATTAATTTTCGTTTTAAATCTACATTTATTTATTTTCTATGATCTACACTCTGTCAAGACAAACATCATTTCCCGTGCCTGCAGTTGTACCTAACGAAGCAGAATTTTTTAAACAATATCAGACACAAATTTTGTGGCAGACTCTGCTAATGTGGAAGAATAAATTAAACATGCAACCACCTTTGTGTTCTGAAAAGGTATTGCACAATAGTAATAGTAATAATAATAATTTAATTTGTCATAACAGCAGGGTCCAATGCCATATTCTGAAATTGGAGGGGTAATAATTATCAAGATCCCCTTGTTAGCGGTTTCTCTGTTTTGTAATAATGATTTATATGTTTCACTGCAGTTGTGCTGGACATTGCCCAGTGTCTCATATATGACTTAACATCACAGGAGTTGTCATTGTAATGAGCCATTATATTTAATTTTCTGAGTGTTCTAGGTTTATTATTCACTTGTCTTCAATCTCAAAAATAAACATAAATATCTCATATTATGGTCTCCTGGAAGATAGGTGCACAGCTCACTCCCAAAATGTTGCATCACTATGTACAGGCCAGGAAAGTCAGATCATAGTATAACTTTAGAACATTTCTTTCATTACATTTTAAAAATTATTTTCAGAGCGCTCTTCTAGGACTCATAGTTCATTTATGTCATATGGTGGAAATACATATTTTCAACTTAATGAATACATCAAGAAAGGAAATGTAAGTTTGGGGTTTTATATAATACACAGCCATGATAATTGTGGGGGGGGGGGAATCTCTTTGTGTTACCATTTACTATGACATCTCTGAAAAGAAAATGAAGCAAGAGTTATTAGCTCATGCAAAAGTAGAGACTACAAGACAAAACCAAAATACAGCAGCACCATCAGCATTGTGAAATTTCTGTAGAATATTATCTGGCACACAGTAACTCCACAGTTATGTATTTGCTCTGGTAAAATTACAATTTTTGGGACCCTACCCTAGTTCAAAGTTTTCTTTACGCAGTATGAACGATCAACAGAAAGCAGGTGAAAATGTCTGCAGTCTGTGTGGGAAGCAGTCCTCCAAACTCAAGAAACACCTGATGACTCACACAGGAGAGAAGCCATTTCCCTGCGAAAAATGTGGCAAACGGTTGAGGAGACACGCTCGTGTACACTCAGGAGAAAGACCATTCCAATGCAGTGTGTGCAAGAAGCAGTTCACCAACAACACTATTCTGAAGAGGCATTCTCGTATCCACATTGCCGAAAAATCATATCAGTGCTCAGTGTGTGGTAAAGTATTTTCCACAGACTGGGATCTTGGGAACCATTACCGAATTCACACTGGTGAGAAACCCTATCGCTGCGATATTTGTTATAAACGGTTTTCTCGTAACGATTACCTTCAGAAACATTTCATAACTCACTCTGGAGAGAAACCATTTCAATGCGATATTTGTAATAAACACTACAGTCTCAAGGACGGTTTGCAGCGTCACTCGCGAATTCACACTGGAGAGAAGTCATTCGATTGTGCGGTATGTAGCAAACGCTTCTTTAGACGCGAACTTATCGAAAAACACGTGAAGTTTTGCGCTATGAAAGATCTGTCATAGTAATTGATTATTGTGCTCCGCTTCCCTCTGTATCTAAAACACAGCAGAAAACTTTCAAATCACTGATACGACGTGTTCATTGATCTTTAAAACAAGTGGAATATGCTTTGGTTATTGTTTTCTTTATATAGTTATTATTTAAGAATACTTTTGGAAATTACTAAGGTCAGTGGTCGAACGAAAAGAATCATCATAAACTGTCGTTATCCTCAGAAATGCTGGACATCCAGGCACTTTGAGATATAAAAAGGAAAGGAGTTGGAATCAATTTTGATTCTGGTTTATGGATTAAGACGTTGCTACCCAGGAAACTTCAGTTCAGGTTTGCCATAAAATCCACAAATCTCATACAAGAAGACACTACAACATTTTATGGTCACTGTTAGAAAAGTGAATCAATTGTAGGAACAAATTAAATTGAAAGTGAGTGAAGGCACAGGGAAGTAAATATAAAATTTGTAGAGTTGTAAATCTCGATTTTTGTTCATTGATTTGGAAAAGGATTGCTTTCGTTTACATTTAACGTGCAGTGTTGCAGCATACTTGTAAAAAAATAAGATATGAACAACAAGTATCGCATTTCCTAAAGTAGTATTGAATGTTCTGGAAATGTAACAAACACGTAGTAACTAGTGTTACAAAATAGAGTCTGTCCCGTCATTCTACAGGTCTTGCAAGGCGTAAATTTCTGGGTTTACCTTCTAACTTCATTGTTTTTTATAGCTAATCGAAGTTTAGTTTTTGAACACATGCTTTCAATTTTTTTCTGTTTAGTTCTTTAAAATATATTATTGTAGTTCTATCATTATTTATTTTATAACCTAAAACCGTGTAACCTGCTGTCTACCTCATTAAATAAATTTGATTTGATATTAATGTTCTCTCATCAGTTCTGTTTGTGGTCCATGTTTTAAGTTGATTCTCCAAATGTGTATAGAAGTCAAATTCTTATGTTTCCTGAGACTGTTATGTTTTATGAGATTGGATTTTGACGCAATTTTTCTT